GAGAGTTCAAAGTTACTTAGAATCTTAATTTATGCTTACCCAGCTGGGATCCTTAGACAGGACTGGAAGTTTCTGTTCAAAAATAACAGGAGAGAAAATAAGTTTTATGTTCATTTTTCTTAGTTCTTAATACTAGAAATGTCTTAAGTCACTGCATTCACATAATTTTTCTAGCATTAAATATTCACTTGATACAATACTGATACTAAGACTTTGCCATTCAATTAAAACACACCTCTATCCATTTTTATCAAAGCTATGCTAATAATGCATTCATTCATAAACTATATCTGAGCCTCTTACATGCAAGCATTGTATCAAAATAAGATCCCAGACCTCAGGCTCTGATAACCTCATGTGAAAGTCAGATAGATGATTAGTGATTACAGTACCATCTCATGATAACTGTTGTGACAAATGAAGGAAAGAGGGCATTTCATCAAATAGGGTCAAGGACACTTTCTCCAGGTGGGTGATACTAAACTGTGCTTCAAAGAGTGAATAGGAAACAGATTAAGAAAGGAAAATGGGGGCTGGAGAGAAGGCTCTGCGGTTAAGAGCACTAACTGCTCTTGCAGAGGACCCGGGTTCAATTCCCAGCACCCACATGACAGCTACAAACCGTCCTTAACTCCATTTCCAGGAGAATCTGAAGCCCTCTTTTGACCTCTGCAGCATTGCACAACATGGGTGCACTCACATACATGCAGGCAATACACTTATACACATAAAATAAAAATAATAAAAATTTAAAAGTATTATTTTAAAAAAAGAAAGGAAAATGGCATTGTATGAACAAATTGCAAATTATATTGAGATTGCCATAGCTTCTGTGACCACATAGCACAGACTGGTGGCTTAAAGGACAGAAATTTGTTTTTTTCATGATTCTAGAGATTAGAGGCCTAAAATTAAAGTTACTTCTGAGGACCGTGAGGGAAGAATCTGTTCTAAGCCTATTTCTTTGGCTTGTAGAGGATTATATTCCTTCTCTCCCCACAACTTCCTTCTGCATATAGTTCTATGTCTTGGTTTCATATTGGAATTTCATTTTGGATTACCTCTGTGAAGACCTTGTCTCCAAATAAGGTTACAGTCTAAGATGATGGGGATTGAGGCTCAACATAAAAATTGAGGGAAACTCAGTTCATGATGAGTTTTCATTTCAAAATGGTGGAATAAAGATGTTTGTAATCTAGAGATTCTTCTCTCAAAGATTACTCCAAACAGGGGCTGGAGAGATGGCACAGTGGTTAAGAGCACTGACTGTTCTTGCAGAAAACCTGGGATTGGCTCCCAGCACCCACATGGCAGCTAACAACTGTCCATAACTCTAGTTCCAGGGGCTCCATTGCCCTCTTCTGGCCTCTGGGCATTGCACAACATGGGTGTACTTACATATAAGCAGTCAAAAAATTCATACACATAAAATTAAGAAATAAATAAATCCAAAAAAATTTTAAAGATTATCCTAAACAGAAAGAAAAAAACTTTTTTCACACTCAAGATATGTCTCTACACACAGATGGATATCTATGAAGTCAAATTAGATGAAGAAACTGAAAGTGATTCAGGAAAAGACCAAAAGACATGTTGGCAAGGGAAGAGAGGACAAAGCAGGGTGTATTACTTAGTTACTTTTCTCATTGTTGGGACAAAATTCCTGACAAGAAGCAGTTTAAGAAAGCCAGGGATTATTCTGGCTTACAGTTCAAAGAGTCACATTCCACCATGGTATGAAAGGCCAGGCAGCATGAGCAGGAGGCAGGTCATCACATTTCATCCAGTCAGCAAGAAGAGAGTGAAAAGGAATTGGGGCCAAGCCATAAAAACCTCGAGATCCACCCCTAGTGCCCACTTCCAGCAAAGTTCTACCTCTTCCACAATCTTCCCAATCAGTGCCATGAGCTGGGAAACATGAGCTTGAGCACATGAGCCTATGGGGGACATTTCACATTCAAACCACAAAACAAGAAGTCAGGCTTTTCCACAGAGCAGCATGAGGGCATAAGAAATAAATATACCAGATGGCTCACAAGAAGGTGAAAGAACGGAATTATTAGAAAGTCTCATAAGAAGATATCTATCCCATATCCCTGTTCTTGTCCTGAAAATTCAAGAGCTACTCTTCCCAGACCCAACAGGAAATCAAAAGTGTATTTCCTGGGAAAATGGAACCAGATACACCAATTGCAGACAGAAGGCAGCAGTGGTAAAATGCCAGGCTGAGTGGCGAAGGAGTTGTGTAAGATCCTGCATATGGATGCCCTTATGTGAATTTTTCATCTGCTTCCTGCACTGATTTTTCTGAAAGAATCAAGGTGATAGATTCTTTTTAAAGCAACAGAGAAGGAGTCCTAGGAAATTAAAAGATTTCCCTTCTCCACGAAAACAATCAAATCAGTATGATAGAAGATAAAGTCAAGAAAATGTGACAGAAAGGAGGAGGAGAAAGTGGTTGAAGAGAAATTAGGGGAGAATATTTTTTTTAAAGTGAGAAGATAAATCCAGGTGGCCTGGGATTGGAATAATAGGAATTCTATAAGGAGAAAATGAAGGAAAATGAATCAACAAATAACACAATAAAGTTATCTATAACTAGAAATGAGTTTCCAAATTCAAAACGAATAATAAGAACCCCTCACATTAAATCACATCATTACAGACTATCAGAAGAAAGGAAGATAGTGAAATATTTCCAGGGGAAGGAGACTTAAAAAGCTCTTCGACAAGAACTGAAATTCAGCTGGCCTTGACTTTCTCAGGAACCAATACTGAAAGGTGGAAGAACAAGGCCTTCAAAACTCTGCAGAAAATTCTCTCTAGCTTGGAAGAGCTACCAGTTATATTGCAATCAAAATATGAGGTCTGAATAAAGGTAGTTTCAGACTGAAAAGTTACAAACACATTTGCCTTCCCTATATCTTCTCTTGGGAAAATACAAAACAATATGCTAAACTAAAACAAGAAATAAAGCAAGAAAATAAAAGGAGATCCAGGAATCGAAGAACTCAAAAAAAAAAAAAAAAAAAAAAAACAAATAAAAACAGTTCCCAAGATGACCTTAGCTCTGTCCTTCTCAACCTTCACTGTACTTTAGAACCACCTTGGGTGCTTTAAAAACCCTGAGGTTGAGACCACGATACAGCCAGTTCTCTGGGGATGTGACCTAAGTATCAACAATTTTTAAAGCTCCCCAGATCAGTTCACTGAGCAGAGGGGGCTCTGACTGCTGTGTTAAGGGAAAGTCCCAGAACAACTCCTATGTAGTGAGCCTGAAGAACAATTGGTGCAGACAGACTAGGAGTCAAGTGGGCCTGCAAGCAGAACTGCAAAGTAGCTGACAGCCATGAAATGGGAAGTCGTGTGGAAATTTGCATCAAGAGCATTTGGTAGAACTGTCACAAAAGCCAAAGAGTGTCCTTTGAACACTTGACTAAGAAAATGCAAAAATAAAATAAGATGTTTTCAAATTTTTTAAGCTGTAAAAGACAGAAAATGTAACCACAGTATACTGACTAGCTGGGCATTGAGGAAACACTTATCTAGGTCATAATGGGAATTCCAAGATACTGGTGATACTGAAAGAATATCAAGAAGAAATGAGTTAGTAAGGCTTAAAACTCATCAAGAGATGCCAATATATGTTAAGGATATTGCCAAAGGGGGAAAAAGAAAGAAAGAAAAGAGGAGGAGGAGGAGGAAACAAGGACAGTGTGGGCTGAAAACATGGTCTCCCTAATATACTTCCATTCTAATCCCTAGAATTTGCTGATATTACTTCATATGGCAAGAGGAACTGTAAAAAATAGTATAACAGTTTCTAGATCCATCCATTTACCTGCAAATTTCATTATTCCATCTTTCTTTACTGCTGAATAGAACTCCATTGTGTAAATATACCACACTTTCATTAACCACTCGTCAGTTGAGGGGCACTTAGGTTGCTTCCATCTCTTAGCCATTGTGAAAAGAGGATGTTCATTTTTAGTTTTTTAAGAGTTCTCCACACTCTTTTCCACAGAGGTTGCACGAGTTTGCAATCCCAGCAGCCGTGAATGAGCGTTCCCCTTTCTCCACATCCTTGCCAGCATTTGGTATCATTTGTTCTCTTGATCCTAGCCAGTCTGATTGGGGTAAGGTGATACCTTAGGGTGGTTTTAATTCGCATTTCCCTAATTACTAGCAAGGTTGAACACTTTTTGAGATGTTTCTTAGGCATCATTCTGGATGTTAAACTTCTGTCAGATGTGTCACTGGTGAAGATTTTGTCCCATTCTGTGGGTCTTCTCTTCAATCTTTGGATTGTTTCTTTTGCTGTACAGAAGCTTTTTAGCTTAATGAGGTCCCACTTATTGATTGCTGACTTTAATTCCTAAGCATCTTCTTAAAGGAGTGCCAAGCAGGGTCACTGGACCCTCACCTGAGTATCTAGCCACTCTTTCCAGCCAACTAGTCCAGCCTTATAAAACAAAAGAAAAATGAGGAAGAACCCAGTAGAGGGGTGCTTTTGGAAGCCCTTGTCAAGAAACTCCAATGGACTCTCATATGAACATTTGAAAATTGCCCTGTTCTGACTTTTTTCTAGTTCCCTGTCTAGAACTTGTAATGCTAATTACTCTTTCCTTTACTTCTCCTTCACATCTCCTATTTATGACTCAAGGACTTTCTTTTCCCCCTAGAGACAAGAGTTACACAATTTTGGAGTCTTTTAGACCCACTAAAGGGGTACTCTAATTGCCTCACTCTGTGTCCCAGTTCAGCATGGAAGAAGCCAGAATGGTGTGCATCCCTATTCCCTATTGGCAATTTGGGTAACCCCTTCAGAGGATAGTGTGATAAGAATAGGAGGTAGGAATTGGCCAGGCAGTTAAGGTAAAAAGACCCCAAAGAAATGTAGCCAGTTTCTGGGTTAAAAGTCAAAATGTCCTTGGGCCTGTTAGCAACATACTCTGTTCCAAAGGCCAAAAATGTCAAAATGTCAAAAGTATTTGGGAGCTTGTGTCTAATCCTTAAAAGATTTTAGGGTTACCTCTTCAGAGTGGGGAATGTTGGAGGGGAAGATGTAGGCA